TTGGGTTTGAATTGCGTCTCCTTCGTCGCAAAGAGCAAAAAAATAACATCACTCAGGCCAAGACAATAGTCTATTTTATTAAATTCAAAACGCATAAATAGGACAGCCATCCCCACATTTTTTTCGTTTTTTTTCGTAGAGAAATTCCGCTCGAGCCATTTCAGCACAAGGAACTCAAACTTCTACGACGTCCCTGTCCATCTTCAAGCAATCAAGATAAAATTCAAGTTTACAGATGGTGAGCACATTCAAACCATGAAATCATTTATCGTTATACAACGTTATACAAAATGGTCAGTCAAAAAATAAAATTACCGCTGCGCCGAGTGTTTCATAGCATCATAATAATAAAAACACATGATTCAAACATTTACATATAATAAATAATAACAGGCAGGAGAGACCGTTCAGGTACACGCAATTGTTGATCGACCAATCAAAATCGATTGTTAAAAATAAAAAAATCCTTAAAAAAATCAATTAAGCCTTAATTTAAAAAAAAAATCCTTTGCAAAGTTATTTATGTATTTCGATTGTTAAAAAATCAACTAAGCTTTTTTTCTCTTAATTAAAAAAAAAGATCCTTTGCAAAGAAGAACATCAAAAGTTATTTACAAATTTCGATTATTAAAAAAAACCAACCAAACTTTCTTTTTCTTAATTAAAAATCTTATGTTCTCGTGTTTATTTATTCGCCCCAGATTAAAGGTCAATTGGATCGATAAAAAAATTTTTTTCAAGCTTCATGCAAACAAACTGATTGTTTAAAAAGTCAACAATACTTTTTTTTTTTCTTGATTAAAAAAAGAAAAGAAAGATCATCTGCAAAGATTAATTATTCAAAAAAAAAAATTTCTCCGGAAAGGAAATAAAAAATGAATTCAGATCATCCACTATTCCTCAAATGGTCGAAATCAAATATTTTTTTTTAATTAAGCACAATCAAAAAAATTTGTACATATTGTTTTATTTATCGATCATTGAATTGACCGATAATAACAAATAATAGTAATGACAACAAAATAAAACGTAATAGTAAAAAGATGCTTTGAATTAGGTCTCGTGACCAGAAAATATGTTAACATTAGTACCACTCTCACGTTGTGCGACAAGTCATTGACGATCTGAGGTAAAGGCTCCAAGACAAGGCCATCAGTTTTGGTCATTTTGAACGGTTTGAAACGTCGGAGAAAGACGGAAACCTATCGGTAGACAACGGTAGTCATTACGCAAAAAAAATATCTAAAGCGAAACACGATTTCCTTCCATTCCAGTCAAGTATCTGCTTCGCTCAACCCTGACATTTTTAACAAAAATTTTCGGTTTCACGAAACATGATAAATAGATATATAGCAAAACGGGATTCGCATGACACAGCGATGATAAAAATAACCATTCGTCATTTTTAGAAAACGAAAATATTTCTGTTCAAATTTCAATTTGGAAATCATTTCAAGCCACAAAGTTTCGCCCTTTGATTTTGATCTCATCCTTCCCCAAAAATTCGGTTTACTAAAGTTGAGAAACAAAATGTTTAGAAGAATCGGATTCGTTACGTATCTGCACTTAATATCAATTGAGTCTCAATCTCAATCTCAGTCTCAATGTTAAACGAATATAACATTCACAACAGAACATTTCCCGTGGAACAAACATTTTCCAAAATCGGGCGAAATTGCAGATTGGGAAAAAACAGAAAAAAAAAAGAAAAACGTTACGCGAGATGTCGAAATCCACACAAGAATTACAATAATTTGGTAAGGAACCATGACACAATAAAATTTCATTCTTTTATATATATTAATTAATTAATTATCAAAAGAGTAATTACATCAACTGAATCAAGCTTCCATTATCTTAATTCTAATATGTATTTTCTTATTATTTCTTGATTTAAAAGCAGTATATTAATATGAAAATAGAATTTAATTTTTAAAATAAAATGTTTGTTCAATATGAATAAATTATATAAATGGTCTTTTAGTGCCATGTGGTAAGCTAGTCGGTCTTATGGCTTCAACGTCTTTTTTGTCTTTGTCTTTTTGTGGTATATGCGGTTGGATTGGTATTAAATCTGTCAGATCCATAGATGATGGGTTGAACCTATTGGAAATATGGTCTGACCGAAGTTTCTTGATTATTTCAGTAGTTTCTTCTAGTTTAATCTGTGATAAAGAATTGATACATATTAAATTGTATTATGCAATACATCAGTATAATATTTTTATTTCAATCAGCACAAGCATTTATGAAATAATTTACTTACTTTGAATGTCCACAACAAATCTAAATAATCACATAATTTGTCACGATCATCAAATAATACTGGAACGGTGACTTTTTTTATACGTTCAAATAAGAAAACTTCGGCTGAAACCATCATCATTGACCATAGCTCCATACGATCCTCTTTATAGATAAATATATTATGTTAATTAATGTAAAATGTCAAAATAATAATAATAATAACTAGCCAACACTTACCAAGTGTATGTAAAAAAAATACTTTAATCGAACAGAAAAGAACAGGATTTCCATTTGTAAATTTATTTGCTAATTCATCTAACATATACAAACAACCAACGAATCCTTTTACATGATCCCATGTTGAGCGGGGTTTATCAATCAAACCATGCCCGCCACTCATTTCTAAATGCGCAAGCTCTAGATTATCAACTTTAAATACCCCATCACAGAGTTGTGAAACATCCGATTGTTTGTATCGTAACCTGCACGAGTCTATACAATCCAATGCTATTTCCCCACTGTAAAGGCAAAAAAACCAGTCAATGTAGAGAAAAATCAATCATACAGAGAAAACATAATACATATATTTATACAGGATTGACAACTTACGGTAAATATTTAACATGAGATTCTAAGCCTTCTAATAGCCACATTAATGTCGGGTGGATGATAAAACCACCATAACTGGCCTCAGAAGCATCTCCACCCGACATTACTGAATTGGGAGGAAATACAAGTTCGTTACTGCAATGAACAAGTAGAAAAATTCTCATTAGTTGTTCACCACTCTAGTTGTGTCTGAAAAAAAATTTTTTGTATGTTTAATATACAAATGCTCACAATTGATTGATCACCCGAGAAAAAAAAATGAGTTTATCAGATTTCATCGTTTTTAATACAATTGGGGGAGAATAAATTGTTGTCCGTATCTCGACTTTGGTTTGCTGCTTATAGATCACAAATGTAAATAAAATAACAAATTAATTAAACCACTTAAAAAAAACTTACTTCATTTAAAATTATTTTTGTTAAAAATTCCTGTGCTTCTTCATCAAGACATGATACAAAAGGTGTCCAAATTGATTGTATCATTTTGTAGTCATCTTCCGAAATCCATTTTGGGCATGCAATTCCTCCTCCGCATCTTATTGTATTAAATTTTTCTGGCCTAAAATTAAAAGTTTTTAAGTATTTACAAAAGAAAATATAAAAATATCTCTAATGTTTAAATTAGACTAACATTAGTGAATGCTCTGCTTCAGAACTGGCTTTATGGAGAGCTTCTTTCCCTGAAATGCCAGAAGGCCATATCCATTTATCCCAACTAGGAGTTACTTTGACATGGATTTCTGCTTCAGTTTCATCTGTTTCCAATACAGAAGCATTCAGAATTTCTTGGTCGTCAAAATAAGATCCAGTTAACCCGCAATATGTCTTGAAAACATAAATTCAACAAAAATTTATTAGATAATTAATTTTCATTATAAAATTTTTTTTTTAATCTTGTCTATTATATTTGGAGGGAATAAAGAGCATATATAGTGGTGGTGAAGGAAAGAGTTGTAGTAACAGTGAGGAGGATGATTGTGGTAATAAGTAGGATGATGTGATTTCGAAACTTTCCCCCACTACTTAATTGATATTATTCACCTTATTCAGAATTGGAATTCTTGAAGGTTTAGGTTCAAAAGCACCGCTTCTAATTACATCAAGAAATTAAATATTGAGTTAGAGTGACGGTAAGTGGCGAGCGATAACCACCACCATCCTTAAAACACTTACACTTTCGTTGTTTCTCCAGATGCATATTCTTTGGTTCTTTTAATTTTGCGTGACATTATTTTTTTTTAAAAAAAAAAGGAAAAAAAGAAGTTTGTTATTTGATCTAGAGCTTCTATTCGTAATATATATACAAAGTTTTATTCGAATTAAAAAAGTTTATTCGAATTAAAAAGTTTATTCGAATTAAAAAATTTATTCGAATTAAAAAATTTATTCGAATTAAAAAATTTATTCGAATTAAAAAATTTATTCGAATTAAAAAGTTTATTCGAATTAAAAAATTTATTCGAATTAAAAAGTTTATTCGAATTAAAAAAGTTTATTTGATTAAAAAATTCAGTTTGTTTTATTCTAATTAAAAAGTTTATTCGAATTAAAAAATTTATTCGAATTAAAAAGTTTATTTGATTAAAAAATTCTAATTCAGTTCGTTTTATTCTAATTAAAAATTTAATTCGCCTTACTATTACTCGAATTATTTGTTCTATTCAAATTATTTGTTTTATTTGAATTATTTGTTTTTTTATTTGAATTATTCGTTTTATTCATTTTATTTGTTTTATTTGTTTTATTTTTATTCATTATTGGAATCATGGATTGTTCAATTACTTAAGGGTAGGGGGAATCACGTGGTATATTTAATAATAAACAATGGCTCAAAAAAAAAATAATGTCGATCATCATAAATAACAATAATAATAATAATAATAACGCATGCAATAAATAATGGAAAAATCAGAATGGCATTCTTTGATTGGCTTGTGGCACGTCAGTGCCACAAGCCAATTATTTAATTCATTCATCAATTTTTTAGTTAATTTTATTAACGTGATTATTGACATGTGATGCATGCAATAACTGGTTTATTGTATGTTGGAGTAAACACTTATTCAGAGCTTAAAATGCACATTCTTTTTTATCATTATTAAATAATCTTTCAAATCCTAAATTTTATTGTTCCATTCATAAAAATGCCAAAAGCAACACAAGTAAGTAAATAAATATTTAAAGCTCCGAACGGTTCAGTTCGGTTCGGTTTTTCGGTTTAAATTTGAACCAAAAATTTCAGGTATCCTAAATTCGTTAACTATGCAAAAATAAACATAACATAATAACTTATAATGACTTGTGGCTGAATGTGTGTTGCGAAGTAAAAATGCTGGAAGGATCCTGTTTCTATATACATGAAGTTATAAAGGATTTTAGACATTTAAAAATCTGTTATAATAATAATAATAATAACAAATTTATTAGTCACGTTATAACGGATTTCAAAAATGTTAAAAGTCGTTATAACATGTATTTAATTAGGTTACACTTCGTTATAACGAGGTTCGACTATGGTAACGAAGATCCGTTTACAAATTATATTATTTATTTATTAAAACAAATTCATTGCCGCAACCAGCTTTTTAAACACATACAAATTCTTATTGTTTTAGGCTCTAAACTACATCGCCTTTGATTAATTAAGTCCGTACCCCCAGAGAAAACCCGTTCATATAATAATAATAATAATAATGGACTTCCCTGATTCTTTTTTTATAATTAATTTTTCTCTACATTCAGAACTCAACAAGACGATGCTTTGATAAAATAAATACACATGATAAACCAATTTTTTTTATTATCTACTTATTAAAAATCATCTCTATAAGCCGATTTTATTAAGGTTTTTTAAAACTGAAGATTTTTTTTGTAAAAACGTTGACTTCGGTTTAACAAGCTCTGCCTGTATAACAAACGTCTTCTATAACGGAAAATTCATTGCAGATAGAGTGAAATTTTCATAATATAAATATGAAAATCTAGCCAAACCGAACCGTTCGGAGCTTTAGTGCCAGCTTAGGCAGATAACAAAGAACTGTCGAGAAAACATTACCGGACGGGAGATAAAACTGCCCTACTATGTATTAATAGCTTAAACGCTATTACTGTCATATAAAAAGAAGAAAAAGCCAGTGGATATTAATTATTAAGAAGACATTTGGATACTGCCATACAACGAAATAAACATTATTCTAACTAAGTCTAGAAAATTGTGTAAGACACGGATTTTGATCTCACATTTTGACGACGACTACTACAGGACCACAATCTTCAAGATAGTCTTTACACCACTTGGAATTGAACATTGTGGTCACTAACCTAATTATAGGGCAGAAGTAAAGAAGTAATTAAGCCATCACGGAGTATCCAGGGGAGGCGCAGTTCCAAATATGGGACCATACATTATTTACATGTCCTAGTATAAGAAACTAGGATTGTGGATTGTACTCTTGGGAAAATTTCCTTATTAGTGAAAATTAATAAGGTTGTAGGTACACTGAAATGGTGGGAGCTGCTTTTATGGTAACATAATTGACGCGATAAAGTCCTGTCAGGTGGGCAGGCACTAAACGACCACCAGTGGACCTACCTAAAATCCAACTAAGAGTAAGTGACTCTTATGAATGTATAACATATTGCCCGCATGCGGCGTTAAGAGAACGCAGCCGGAGTTTCATACCTCCTCAATTGCGAAATGGAAAGTTATGCACACTCATTGAGTTGCGACACTATCAAATTGCCGGAAGTTCCTAAAGCCCAAGGTACCGCGGGAGGGGCGAAAGCCACTCTGCAGCAGCTGGTATAAATGCCAGTGGATGGTAATAATCCAAGGGATTTAAGGCGACATAGGAGCTGCGGGGAGCAGAGGCGTATTCATTTCGGGTGGTACGTCATCCTATTAGCTTATGGACATATTATGTGAAGGTGTTTAGGCTTGAATCGAAATTGATGCCTTCAGGAGTGTGTTGGTATCATTAGTAGGTCAGAAACACTCTCTGGTTTTAAGAATGTATCAATCCTTGCTTCCGCTTTGCGTGGCTAAGATTAATGATAGAGTAGGATCCTATCATGCAGCGTCTTGACGAGAGGGACGGTCTAAATAATATGTCTCTGTTAAAAGACAGAATGGAAAATCGGCAGCCAAACCGCCTGGGTGAGACTCTTAGAGTGCCCGACGGTGCAGTTCACAGACTAAACGGTAGTGGGTGGGCAGCATCCTGTAACTCTTACTTTGAGTTTGAGCTCTGAAAGGATGTCCATGGTGACATGGATTTACTGACCGCTTAAGATATAGTCGACAGACGCCTGAAAGGGTAGTTAGTTAGTTCACTAACAAAAATTCACCTTTAGTAATCCACAAGGTTTCGGAGTTCCTAAAAAGAACACTTGCGAACTGTTTGGAATGAACAATGGATTCCAGGGCCGGATTCGTTGCTTAATCCCAATGTGGTATTGGGTTGCGTAGAATCTGGTACAGATGAAGTTGATTTAATATCACAACGAAAGCTAATCAAAGCAATGTAGGATTTTGGACCCAAACAGTTTTGTGTAATGTTTAGGGTGTGATCACCTTATCCTGGTACAACCTGGCCTAGCCCTGGGAGGTGTGGAGCTAGCCCCACGAAAGTGGTAATGGGAGATCCTCGCCGTTTTTATAGTGGGATTGCCGATCATGTATGGTAGTGGGATATACCGATCATGCCAGACTGATGCTAAGCTAGAAGTTGCTAAGTATTCTTCCTGCAGGGGAATATGACCCACTTTTAGTGAACCAATGTTATTGGCGTTTGAGGGCCGAAACTATCATGCGTTTGAAAGCGCAATACTATAAAAACGAGTTGCCTAGGGGTAAAAGACAAAACTGTTACGCTAACTTCCTCCTATGTTGTGGAGAAAACCAACGACTTGTTAGAGAGAATGATCTCCGACTCGCGTGATATTAATGTGCTATTTCTTAGAGATCAATGGTAATTCCTAAGGGAAAAACTCGCCTTGTAAACATCATGCGAAACACGCGGTTTCTTAACGAGGGTTCGCGACCCAAACGTGATGCTGAGAGCTTTAAAAGTTTGCCGTACGTGTGGACGGTAAGGTTGAAAAGCTTGGGAGCTAATGTAATTGTGAATGGAGAATTATCCGCTTCACCTATGTTAATCTACGGCCTTTTCAAGTGGAAACTTCTGCGTCAAAGGTTAAGTGCATACCAAGACCCTTTGCATTAAGGGGATTAGAGGAGTGAGGAGAAGTAAATCTGAAAGAACGTTTCGATGTGGATATTGGTATAATCCTACGGGCAACAGGTCCTGCAGGCCCCGGTATAAATGTGGGCCAAGTGTACCCTAGGTAAGGGAGCCTGGTTCCAATATTCATGTAAAAGGACATCGTAATGGAGGATTTATTATCCGATCCGATCGAGTCTCATATAGGCTTAGGGGTTGCTATATGGTAGCAGACCAGAAGGCTGGCGAGAGTTAAAACGTAAACCTGCTCTTGGAGTGGAAGCTTGAAAAGAAGAGTAGTGTAATTTATACTATGAACAGGGTAAGGGACATGGCAACCTTGGTGTATGATCTTTACACCGAGCTGCGGATGAAAGCTGGGAGTTCCGCCATAGTATAAACTATGCCGAAAGATTATTATGTGGTAAGAGATAAACCTAACGTGTAAAAAGGGAGGCCGAGATATTATCAAAGCCGAAAAACCGGGACCTTTACGTTAGGAGTACTTGTGAAGACTCTGAGATTATTCAATTTACCCATTTGGAACTGACGTCAGAAGAAGAAACTGCAAATCAAGTAATAAAACAGATTCAATAACTTTAGACGAGGACAAAAGTGAACATCTGGAAATAGACTTTTCTATCATCAATTATAACGAAGTCAGCTATAGTAATTACATTACTGGAGGGGGGAATAGAAAAATAAATCCAGAAGTCCAGACAGAAAACAATCAAGAAGAAGACACAGAAGATAATCAGGAAACCACTGAGGGAGAATACGAAGAAGGGGACACAGATTCAAATTCTACAATTTCAAATCAACCAGAAGACAACAACCCAAGTTAAGATTTATCAGAACACAGCAACAATAATATAGCAGATCAAGAGATTATTGAACCTTATAGTACAGGGTGGGACCAGGACTCAAATTCTGAAATATTAGTAGTAAAAGCTACATCAAATAGTGAATAAGCAAGTCCGGAAAAGAAAATAAAGAGAAGGAAACAATTTCAACAATTTTAAGTGAAACAACATCACCACCATCCTGTAAAACTTTACTCTCAGTGTTTTTTCCGTTTATATTAATAAATATACATTTCCGTGTTTTTTTCCATAAATGTATTATATTCATGGAATCTATAGTTCTGTTTTTTCATTAAAAATGGAGTTTTACTAATAAATTAATTAATAAAATGAATAAAACTCGGATAAATGACTGAGAATTTACTGAATAAATCAATTAATAAAATGAATAAAACTTGGATAAATGACTGAGCATTTACTGAATAAATCAATTAATAAAATGGATAAATTCTTGAATAAATTAATAAATAAATTTTCAAGTGGTCTACTAAAGATGGCTCCTCAATTAATTGAGACTAGTTGCTGCACATGAAAATTGAATTGTGGTTGCAGTTGTGGCATATGAAAATGTAATTGCAGCTAATTGTGGTTTCCATCTTTAAACGTTACTAGCATGATAAAATGGCAAATTTTTGAAAGATTATGGATTAGTAATGTACATGCAGCAACACGAAAATTTGTATGTGGTACATCACCCTTGTGATTTGACAGCTTTGAGTTAACACCAGTCCATGTTCTGTTTGAAGAATAGTAGTTTATTTGAAAGTAATGTAAGTATTAAGACTAGACTAGAAATTTTTTTTAAAATTGAAAGCATAAATCTTACTGCAGGCTGGTTTGCATGTCCCCCTTCTAAAGCAATGAAAAGAATAATATTAGTGTGACCATATTTTGTCTATTATTAATTTATTTTTAGAAAATTCAGCATCAAAAATTCTAGTTGATATATCTTGTAATAACATTATACAATCAAATTAGTTGTTATTATTATATTATTATTATATGTGATAACAATTCTTTCTGATAATACACCACCAGATCTAAAAAAAGTGATTAGTAGTATAATTGTTATTACAAGAATATATCAACTAGAATTTTTGATGTTGAATTTTCTACCTATTTTCTAAGAATAATTAAATTAATAATAAATAAAATATGGCTGCGTGACAATTCTTTCTGATCGTACACCACCAGATCTAAAAAAAGTGATAATAATTAGTATATAATTGTTATTACAATAATATATCAACTAGAATTTTTGATATTGAATTTTCTACCTGTTTTCTAAAAATAATAAAATATGGCCGCGTAACAATTCTTTCTGAGCGTACACCACCAGATCTTACAAGAATATATCATAATTAATTATAAATAAAATATGGTCACATAACAATTCTTTCTGATTTCGTTCAACCATTAACCTTTGGAAAAAAAAATACTAAAATATTAATATAAAAATAGATACAAAAGTATATAATAATAAAAAATAATGTTACCATTAATTGGGTCCATAAAACTGTTTTTTTTATAATGGATCTCTCTAAAATTAATTAACCAACACTAGATGAGATCTACAAAGCTTGGAAAGCAAGATTTGTAAAATATACTTGATCGATGCTTTATCTAGTTGCATGTTAGGCGGGTTTGATTATTTGAAAATGCCATATAAGTATTTAAAAACAAAATAGTTCTTTACCTATTACCGTTTATTTTTGCATCTTGCTAAGTGCTTGATCGAATTGAGTGATCTTAGATTTAAAAGAAAGCCCAACTTCTATTGCACATAATATTCAAAACTTATTTATAGTTAATATTTAGTATATTGTTTTTAAATCACAATTCGTTGACGCATTTTAATAATATTATTAAATGTCTCTTTACATTTCTCTTCTCCTTTTTTGACAATTGGTATATTATTGTTGCTTGCTTATATTATCTAATTATTTTAATCGTTATTATTTATGTAAGAATAAAACGTAAAAAAAAAATTTTAAACTGTATAAATATAAATAAATATTCATGGCAATATAATTATTTGCATTTATACTTGCATTTGGACGCGTCAAAAAATTTTACTATGATGCTGATCAATTTTATTATTTTGCAACCTGCGGGAAATGTCACGCGACTAGATAATAATAATAATAATAACAATAATAATAATGTATTTCCGTGTGATTTTCGTATATTAGTATTTTAAAGTACTAGTACGGAAAAAGTGTTCAATTCCGTACAAATTCTGTACACATGATTTATTATTTGAATTCCGTATGTTTCATACTGTTTTATGACGTATGTATTCAGTGCCTTTTAGACAATTTTTTCTCATAGGGATATGTTGTTCTGCTTTTTCAAGCAAGGACTGGAAGTTATTCCCTCCCTATTCAAGTTAATAATGACCACAAAGATTATTTTATTTTTATTTACACAGTAATTTGATAAATTAGTTAATCCTAATCGATGAACGTAAATTTCTCATCTAACTTCTGAATTACCTCTCTATTTCTCAGTATCGTATTAAACGGAACCAGTAGTGGCCCGATCGTTTGACTTTGAACCATTTTCTGGTAACTTAGATTTGATTGGCTGATAAAGCGTATGAAATTCGCTATTTTTTTAGAAATTAGATTTTGCGCCATGCACACAAATGCATCCGTCTTACGCGTCACAAAATTTTAGCCTATTGATATTTGGTTGGTCATATTAATCATGAATGGAAGCGAAAGCAAATTTATACCAATGTTTTTAGAGAACCATTCCTGAAGATAGTGATGTTAATGAGAATAAGGAGCTAGATGTCAAAACTAACATAAAATTGGACTCTAATATGTGCTTCCCAACTTGGAAAGTTATCATTATAATAAACAATGGGCACAACAACAAGGATTTAAGGGAAATTTGAAAATCACATATGAAAACAAACTCTTGTTTATAGTTTGTAGTTGTAAAGTTACCAATAAAAAAAAAGAAGTGGAATTAAACCATCTAAATCACAAAGAACAAATTGTAATTTGCATCTAAATCTTTCGCGTCCTATCAAAATCATCCAAATGGTCTCATATGTATACTACGTTTTATAATGAGCATTTTGGACACCTACTTGATCCTTCTGTAAGAAGATTTGAGTCAAAAAAATGCATTTACAAAACCTATTCTAAACGATATTGGATGGATGTGGCTTACAAAATCTATTTTGTAACTTTCATTCCATCAAAGAAAATTTTTTCTATTAAATTATCAAATATGTATGAAACCAAGTGTAGATTATTGTTTAAACTTCAGTCATCAATGCCCATAAAGATTTATTAGAAGCAAAGTCTTTAATTTCTTACTAATGAAGAGATCAAATTTTTATTTCTATTATTAAAAAATTTAATCCAATTAATTTGAATATTCATGAAGGTTTATTTGAGACAAAGAATTTTTTATATAACTATTTGTT